GCCAGTAATTATACGGGCTGCACGGTTTTGTAGTTTTTGTAACTTGCTAGTTAAAGTTTCGTCGATACTGTCCCAAACTAAACAGCAATAGTTAAAGTAAGGCTCAATTATACTCTTATAGATTTTGATTAGATAGGGCCTACTTAAAATTGGCTTAATTTTCTTTAACGTGCTTAGGTTACATGCAATGGATGGATAGATGGATGGATGGATGGATGGATGGATGGATGGATGGATGAAAAAAAGAACAAATGAATGAACAAATGAATTAGATGAAAAAAAACAGTATGAAAGACTGATGGATGGGTGGATGTGTGGATTGAAGGATAGATAAATGGTGTGTTATGAACGCATGGATGGGATGGATGGGATGGATGAGATTGATTGATGTAATAGGTAAATAGGATAGAAAAAGGATGGATGGATGGAGAGACAGATAAGAAGAAGGATGAAATAAACCTTGTACATGTACATACCAAGTCCAGCCTGTAGAAGGCCAACAGATCCAGGATAGATCATGGGCCTACCAAAAGCATGTGCGACAAAGTATCTGAAAGACAACAAATAAATGAACAAACAATTTCTTAATTAAACTCAAATGAAAAGTATGCAATCAATCATAGAAGTAAATGAATGAATATATGGATAAATTAATTTATTAATTTATGGATTAATTAATCAATTAATTAATGTTTGAATGAATGGGTCTTATTCACGCGGCAGCCATGCTGGATTGAACAATAGATTCCACCACACATAGCCTCAAATTCAAGTGCTTGAAAATTAATTTATGCTGGGGAAACAGGTTTTTATTCTCATAAGAATAAAGATGGCCACCGTGTGATAAAGGTCCATTAAATAATTAATTAAATGAATGAATGGATGGATGGAAATGGAATAGAATGAATAGAAAAAGTATACTTTTCTGAGACAGCTACCACCAGTAGCCCACTCAAATAAATTTCAGATTAGGGTATCTTATCGTATAATTATCCATAAAATACCTATATTTCTTCTTTTGGAAAAACTGATATTTTCACATGTGAAAATAACATGTTATTTTCACATGTGAAAATATCGTTACCTTCCGTATTTAAGCTATTAGTTTATAAATAAAAACTTTTTATAATAAAAAAAAGCTTTTTAAGTTGATGTTATGGATAATTATATAAAAAACAGAATATTACAGGGGCGCTTGGAGATATGAAATTTATCTTCTCTTGTTGAAAATCTCTCATTCGTTTGCTGTGCTCACTCGTGAGAGATCTTTTCAACACTCGAAGATAAATTTCGTATCTCCGCGCGCCCATGTAATATCCTCTATTTTATTCATACCTCATTATGCTACAGGGAAAGGAAAAAATCTTTGAAGCCCAGCTCCTCTGTCTGGAGTGAGAGAGCACACTAACATCTGGAGGATTACTGATGTTTGAACTGCTATAACAAAGTGCAAATAAAACAAGCTTAAAATACAAATGCATACCAATGCTTCCCACTCCCCAAAGGAAAAAGTTTTTTCCTGTATCTTGAAGCAACTGGAATGCATCATCTCTCACCATTGCTATCTACATTTAGGTTTGAATCCCTTGCTACGCGTTATGTGAGTAGAGTTGTTTGTTGATTCTCGCCTGTGCTTTGAGGGTTTTTCTCTGGGTTCTCTACATGTACTGTAGTTTTCTTCCCTCCTCAAAGCTCAACACCTAAATTCTAATTCAATCTTTGGTTTTCACATAGTTAGAGCCAGGCACCATTTAGTCTAGACACTGGCTCTTCCTTTAAACCCTCCCCTTTTGTTGTATGTACCTTTAACTTATATAATTGGTTATTTTACTTGCGACTGTACAGTGTATATAACTTTTCCTTCGCTACATATATAAATTGTATAAAAACTTGAAGTCTTAATAACTTTATTAACTTTATTACCTTTTGAGAGTTTCATTCCATTTGTAATCAGCTGGCCAGTCATGAAAGTCAAAATCGTATAAGCGCAGTTTTCTCTGTTAAAAGATTCACACATGAAAAAAAACAAATTGTTTAAGATGTACACCAAGTGCTGGGATTCCTGTGTTACATTTATCACAGGAACCCCAAGCCAGTTTTTCAAGCAAGGCTTTATTTATACCTTATTCTCTTCAGTGTTGGAGGCCTTAGTTGCTACAAGAATATCAAGGAAGGCTCTGTAATCCTGATTGTTAAAGCGACCAAAACCTAGAAAAATCAAATCAAATCAAATTCTCTTCAAATTCTCTTCATGACAAGTAATAATACGGACTTCACAAAATATATGACTGCAACGTCACAACCAGATGGTTGAGTAATTCCTCTTTGAGGTTTTGTTCATTGGAGATTTCATTTAAAACATTTTCTATAAAGTCAATTCATCCACAGAGAAGACAGACATCGAAGGCACTATACTCCCCAAAGTGAAGTTATATTTATATTTACACTTCTAGGCCCGGTTGTACGAAGCTTGGATAGCGCTATCCGGCTGATAAACCCTTATCCAGTGGATTTATTCGTTGGGTAGCACTATCCAGGCTTCGTACAACTGGGCCCTGATTGATGTGGTCTTCACAGATTTCGCAAATCTTAAATTCTCTAATATTCCCTGAAACTAACAAACATGCCCTCTTCAAACATTCCCTACCACTTCTAATCTTCCTCTAGGGTGGCATAGCAGTATTACACTTGCCTCTCACCTCTTGGGCATTGTGTTTGATTCCAATTCAATCTGTCAGTTAGCTGTTCCCTGACTTTAATCAGCCCAACGGTTGTTTCAGGGTTCCATCTGTGAGTTAGCCTTGCCCTGACTTTGATCAGCCCAGAGGTTGTTTAAGGGTTGAATCTGTCAGTTAGCTGTTCCCTGACTTAGATCAGCCCAGAGATTGTTTCAGGGTTCAGTTTGTGAGTTAGCCATGCCCTGACTTTGATCAGCCCAACGGTTGTTTCAGGGTTCAATCTGTCAGTTAGCCATGCCCTGATTAGATCAGCCCAGAGGTTGTTTCAGGGTTTAATCTGTGAGTTAGCCATGCCCTGACTTAGATCAGCCAAGAGGTTGTTTCAGGGTTTGATCTGAGAATTAGCCATACCCTAACTTAGATCAGACTGGTCAGAGGTTGTTTTAGAGTATGATAAAATTTGAAGGTCATGGAGGTGTGGTTAATGCATAACACAATAAACTATACATACCTCTAATACAGAAAGCTCCAATCAATATAACTAATGCAGAACCAATACATTTAGTCAGGTATACATAACCAGCTGAAGTGAAAAAACCTAAACAAAAATTATTTTCCTTTAATTATTTTTTCTTTGGATTCTTTTATTTCTTTTATCAGTACCCTGCTCATAATTACTTGCATGAAAGTGTACAATTTGCCATTGCTACAAAGTAGGTTTTGGTGGATGTCAATAAAGGCAATTCACCTTTTCGGCGCTAATTTTAGCTTTGCGTTAACACTTTCATTCCTCTTTCATCGGTCATCTCCACTTCCAAACAAGTTAGACTTTCTGAATAACAAGATTTTAGCCTTGTACAACAGCCTTTCTCGGAGAAAATAGTTTTTGGTGCTCACTAGTTGAATACGAAAAGAATTCTCTCTTATCATACATTTCTTTGTAATTTTTGATGCTTTTGATTGCTTATAATTTTGCTGTTACTAAGCCAATCAAAGCCACACTGCAGAAACCTGTTAATTTTGGTGTGCTTTTTTCAACATTTATTTATTGATTAATTATACCTTCTGTTTACTCGTTCCCAGAACCTCACTCAATAGGCCTTTTGCAGTTAACTGTCACGTGTCTGTACTGGTGAGCAGTTATTTTATTTTAAATTTGTAAAGAACTGAATGAAACGATGTGTAACCAGTGTGTCACGAAATGCAGTTTTATTACGATCTCTCGAAACAGGTCGTAGAAATTTTGTTTGCTCACCAGTATAATTCACCCATGGGAATCAAGATGTTCATTCATTTGCTCTCAGTGAATTAATCAGCACGTGATTACTGAGCTGCAAAGGGCCTATTGGCCAAGCCAACCCCTTTTAATCCCTTATCACGTGCAATCATGGAATATAGCCCATGAGCTAGTGCAAAATATTTTTATTTTTTATTACCTTTTCTAAACATATAGAAGACTAAGGCTGGTGATGTGTAGTAACAAATAGACCAAGCATAGGATAGCTATAAAGAAATGACATGTACTGTATTTATAGCAGGTGCAAAAAATCCTGAGGGGTTCCTAAATTACCATATAAAAATATGATATTGAAAAGCATGAAAGGATTAATTCTCACTATATGTAAGCAAAAAGATATAATTAACAATTATTTGCCAAAGGCAAAGTGAATATTGGGGAACATTTACGTCTTCAAGCGGCAAAGTAAATAACATTTCACTGAGGCATAAGGCATGAGTTGTGACCAATGAGTGCACTGGATTTATCATATTCATGTATCAAAAAATACTGAATATATATATATTATATTTTGGTTTTAACATAAGCTCTTAACGAAAAAGAACAAAATTAAAATGAGGGTTTTTTTTAAATGTTTGAAATCTTATAACTCAGCATGTACATTGAAAATCAATCTCTATAGGCCTGTATATATGTATGTTATGCAAAAGCTATTGCCAGCCATCTATTTTGGGCATTTCCTCCTGACACCTGTATCTTGACTACAAATTATTTGATAAATAAATAAATAATATCATGAATCATCATGAAAACGAAGGATAGTGAGGGATTAGTGAGTAATAACGTTCTATTAAACGTATGAAATATACTTACTGCCTTGATAATACCATCCCCACACTGTTCCATCCCATTTGCATCGTACGCCCTGCTCCGTAGCTACAAGTAAGACACAAAAATACAAAACTTAAAACTATTATTGTAAAAGAACAAACTTGTGAAAAAAAGTGAAAGCGAAAGTCACCACTTTTGGAAAAACATTTGACCCAATTTGCGTTGTCTAAATTAAATAAAATCTTACACACACCTAGCTAATATAGTCTTTTATCATTCTGTACTAGTGAAATAGCTTACCTTTGTTTCATGTTGGATATAAATGCGATATAATCGAGGTCCTAAGGCACTTCTTACAATATCCGCCATATTGATTTATTTATGCATTATTACAATATGGTACTAACCGCTGATCATAAAAACCGATGATTCATGCACGACACAGGTAACCCAAATATAATTTTAGTAGCGCTTATTTCAATAAAGTTAGTCACCAAAAACCTAAAAAGCTGAGATCACTGAGCATCATGGGAAACTTTTCATATCAAAAACAAGTGAAATAAGTGTATAAAGGATGTCTGTATACAGTCAATTCAAAAAGCGTTGTCGTCGACCGGCTCTTCTTCCGGCTCAAGCCTACGCGACTGGACCGAAAGGAATATGGGTAAAAATCACTGAAGCGGCTGAATATTCGTTCTGAATTAATTGTTCCCCCTAGTAATAAGATAAAATGGCGAGAAACAATCCATCAAATGCCTGTCTTAAGGAAAGAAAAACAAAGTAGTTATGATTCAGTTCAGAATTTCGAAGATATGAAGCAAGAGAATTTCTAGGTGTGTTTGTACTTCGCTGATAGGTTTAAGAAAATGCCCATAAGAATGAGTCTGCAATGAAATATTTAGCGGACTCCCACAAACTGGAACCCCAGAAATCTGTGCCGGTTGTACAAAGGGTGGAGGCCCTCGAATAATTCCTTATCCAGTAGTTTACAAAGTCGATGCAGTTATCCAATAATTTTCTCCAGTGTATAAGATTTCTCCGTCGGATAGCGCTATCCACCTTTCGTGCAACCGGGCCCTCGGGGTTAGAAAAATGATTCCCCTAGAGTCTTACCCGGGTAATCCGGGTACCCTTACCCCGGGCGAAAGCCCGAAAGCCGCCCGAGATTGTTACTGGTTTACTCCGCTGAGCAAAAAATTCGCGGGAGGTAGAGCCATGCGGAGCCAAGGAATCCAAACTAAGTGAGCTTCAAAAAATGTCATATCTTTACCGAAAGATTGCTTCAAATCCGCTATGTAGCGTATCTAGAGTCTTGAGAGGGTACCCTATAGTATTTGTACCAAGTCGATTGTGTGCAAATAGTAATGTTCCACCGTTAGACCAGCCAATTGTTAAACTTCCTCCTCCTCCTCCTGGAGTCGTAGAACATGTCAAATGGACCAGGGATCATCATGAAACACAAGTAACTACCTTAGAAAATGGCATTAGAGTCGCTTCTGAAGAGTCGTTTGGGCAGTTTTCTACTGTAGGAGGTTAGGAGGTTTTACGTTTAACTGTTGTACTTTTGACCATTGGTTTCGTAGATGTAGTATTTATGCTGACTTAGACGTATGTACAATGTATATACTCTCAAATGATTATCGTTTGCTTATATATTACCTTAGCCAACATATGTGTAGAATTAAGATACTTAGATGCTGTTTACCAACGTTTTGGATGCAAAAATCTATTAAATATTTTATCCTATTATAGGATAAAATATTGCTCTATGTCTATTCTTCGATTGCACCTTACGTCATCGCGGCCATGTTGGTGCCATTTAACAAAAGATTTCTCATTAGCATCCATTGGCCGCCACAATGGCCGCCATGTCTTTGTCTTTTGACTCTCTTGGGAATGCTTGCAACCCATCAATATATGAACAATCTATTTTGGAGATTTCATTGGACTCATCATAGCTATTAGAAAGCAATGTATCATCCATACAGATTTCATTGTAAAATGTTAAATTCTTTGCACAACCCTTATGCATTTTTGAAATGCTCCTTTTTCGTCTTACCAAAAATGCATTGAAAGTGCATTGCATTCATTTAGTATCTACACTAAAATGATGCAATATCATCATCTGCACATGCAACAAAAAAAACATATTTGCCAGTTTTAGCGATGCCAGCATTATCAAAAACCTTTGATTTCACAGTCTATACTAATACAATACGCATCCATATTCAAATGTCTTTGATGGCATGTTACGTCATCACGGCCATCTAGCCCCTTTGTAAATAAGATTTTTTGTTTGTTTACTTTATTTATTATTTACTTTACATTATCTCAATACTGCGTTAAAGTCTCAATAAGTGTCAATAATAATAATAATAATAATAATAATGGGGTTCTTCTATAGCGCATTTCACAATGTCTCACTGCGCTTTACATTGCAGTGGAGGACTTTACGGGCTGCATATTAAGGCGCTATTAGCAGCCGTGCAGCTTACAAACATGAGAAATCAAAAAAAAGGTTTGAAATAACAGGGGTTCAAGATATTCAGGGTATTATATGAAGGATGTTTGAGATATTTGGGGTTTGAGATAACAGGGCTCCACTATAGTTAAATGTCTATAATGCTGACTAAGATGTGAATAAATATTATATATTATTTTTTGTACTTTTAGTTGTTATTGATGCAGGATCTAGATATGAAGTGGACTGTCCTGCAGGCATAACACATGTCCTAGAAAAACTGGCATTTCAGGTAATAAACAAAGATATATATTATATACATATTAGCACTGAAGCAAATCTAGTAACCCATTATTTTTTTCTGGTCCGGTATCCTAAAAAATTGTGCGCTATGATTGGCTGTTTGAGAGGACAGTATTTTGTCAGTATCTGCCTGCGCGCGCGGTCTGGTATCCTTTGCCGCTAAACAACAAAACAAAACGATTACAAAAACAAGTAAAAAAAATACGGGGAAAAAATAACAATAAAAATAAGTTATTTGCCGTCCTATAGTCGGTCCGGATAGGGAAAAACTGTGCCCTCGGTCTTGAGAACGGGCCGACGCCTAACGGACTCAGTCCGTATACTCAAGACCTAGGGCACAGTTTTTCCCTATCTGGACCTCCTGGCCAGTAAATAACATACATGTATATTTGGGAAGGGCTGCTAGTTCAAATGTTTTCATATTGTCTGATGAGTGGTTAAACAACATTCGCTCCACAAAAAAATGTCAACTTGCAACTCAGGGTTTTGCACCATATTGTACTTACCCAGACACTGTAATTAGGGACACTGACTAATACTACTAGATGAACTTTTGCACACCATGCTGAACAAGACTCAATGGCTTAAAATAGTGTTTCTGATGTCGGCAGAAGTCAACTGATGATGATGATGTTGCACAATTTTGTTTCCTGCATCAATGTTACTGTAGTGGTTTTATGGATGAAGATAGACATTTATAATCATTACCGGTATTGTTTGTGTCCAGAGTACTGCAAGGTTTCCCAACCAAGATGATATACTACAAATTCTTGAACCTGTAGGTGGAATGGCTGATTGTACCTCATTCAGGTAACTAAGAAATGCAACAGCTTTTTACATGCTCTGATATTGACCTTCACAACAATATTTGGAAGTATGATGGCAAAATTTGTTTAGGTTAATTGTTATTTAAATTGGCTACCAGAAATCTGTTGGACAATCCATTAATGCAAATTGACTAAACCTAATGGTTGGTACATTAACATCACAATGGCAATGTTTGTGTTTTTAATATGGAATATTGTGATTTTTCTTTCAGAGATGCAATTGTTTATGGAACTTCAACATTCACAAGTGGCGTTCCAATGGCCATGGAAGTCTTGTCAGAAGGCATTTTGTATCCTAATATTAGTGAACAGGAGGTAATAAATAACACAAGATTAAACATATTTGTCTTCAATACTGGTATGAAAATTACGTAAGACTAAAAATATGCACCAACACCTTAAGGTAGTGAGTGTGGAGTGTATCATATACATGCAGGGCATGAAATAAGCTTTTAAACACGCTAGCAAAACTTTGCTAATAAGTTTTGTTCTCATTGGCAAAAATTTTACTAAAAAGTCACTGGCGATAGGACGGGGTGAATAACAGACATTATTGATGCGGGTTCTAAACTTTTCAGACCTTCAATTTCTGGACTGTGTTCATACTCGCAAAGCTTAGCTAGTTAAATTTTTTGTCACTCACTAAATTAATTTCATGCCCTGAAATGTACATGATCGTAAGCCTCTGGCAAGGGAATCTCAGCTGCAGTGACTCCCTGTATGACAACGTAAAATAAAGATTTATCATTAATATTTATTATATTGTTATTTTAAACATTATTCATCTCAAGAGTGCAGGTTATTCCCCTTACTACCCTCCAACAACAATACTCACTTCTAAGAAATCCGGGTTGCTGAATGATATATACTCTCTTAATTTTGCTTCATTTTCTATGATATAAATATTTTTAATTTTTGCCCCATTTTGCATGACATAAATATAATATTTTTTTAATTTTACAAACAATTTTTTTTGTTATCAGGTTGAGGAACAGAAAATGACTGTACAATTTGAATTAGAGAACCTAGAGTTCAAGCTTGATCCGGAACCTCTCCTCACTGATATGATCCATGCTGTAAGTTTGTATGCCTTTGTTGCAATTTATGGATATTGATAATATTGACACGCTGTTATTTGAAGCAAGCAATTTGAAGCAATACTAATATTGCTGGGTTTCAATCAGCTAATAAATAGTTGAATCTCATTATCTGCTTCATGTGGTGATCAAACACTGACTACCATATTCTGTCAGCCATAACAAATTATCGACAACTTGACATTAAGCTGATGAACATTCCACATGAGATAGGAATTCAAAATGATTCTGTTTTGGCCACAGTGTACATCTGCATTTACTTGATTTTTCTGAAGAAAACTCTTTGTTTCATACTTAGGCAGCATACAGAGACAACACACTTGGTCTTCCAAAGCTCTGCCCTCCAGACAGCCTCGGAAAAATAAACGTAAAAGAGATCATTCAATTTTTACAAAGATATTACCTGCCATCCAGGATGGTTGTGACTGGAGTGAACGTTGACCATGAGCAACTTATTGATTTGACGAGACAGTACTTTGTGAACAAAAAGCCAACATGGATGGCAGATGAAGATGTGGTTATCAAACCGCCAGATAAATCTATAGCCCAATATACCGGTGGAATAATCAAGGTATGGATGGTGAAAGAGGGACAGCAGGGATATGAGGGTCAAGATTTTGGCTGTACAACAACTAATTTATTCATTCCTTTACATAGGAGCACCTAAATGAACCACGAATAAACCCAGGGCCTTCACCCCTGCCAGAGTTGGCCCACATTTCAATAGGCCTTGAAAGCTGTCCTTATGTAGATGAAGACTTCTTTGCCTTTACCGTGCTGAACACACTCATGGGTGGGGGAGGGTCATTCTCTGCTGGAGGGCCTGGCAAGGGAATGTACTCAAGGCTTTACCTCAATGTCTTGAATCGATACCACTGGATTTACTCGGCAACAGCATTTCATCATAGTTATGCCGATAGTGGAATGTTCTGTATTCATGCCAGTACACATCCAAGCAGGGTAAGAATATTAATTAACTTATGAAGCACAGGTGGCGTAGCAGTTAGAGTGCTCGCTTCTCACCAATGTGACCTGGGTTCGAGTCCCTCCAGGCTCTGTGTCGTATGTGAGTAGAGTTGCTTGTTGTTTCTCTCCTATGCTGCAAGGATTTTCCGGTTTCACTGGTTTTCTTCCCTTCATAAAAACCAACTTCTGAATTCCAAAAGTCCAATTGGAATTCAGTGGATGAAGAGCCACTCTGTAAAAAAGGTCACTGTTGCATCCCATTTATTTTATTTATTATTTATTTTATTTGTTATTATTATATGACCATGAATCTTAGAGCCTGGACACTAGCAAATCGAGCAATCTGATTGGATAGATCGCATTGTGGACTGGTCTAGATTCTCCGGTATTAACCGGTCCGATCGCATATTAATCTTACGGCGAAAACTTTTTGTCCTTTTCAATGAAAAGTGGTCATATAATAAAACTCTTATCAACTGAGCTTGGTCGGTCTGTACGGGATAATCTTGACCTCGGTCGGGTACAGACCTTGCTGCGCTCGGTCTGTACATTCTGACCTCAGTCAAGATTATCCTGTACAGACCTCCTGCTCGGTTAATAAGATCTAATTATTATTCTATTATTTTATATATTATTATATATTATTATTTATTTATGATTTATTTTATTTATTATTTATTATTCTGTGTGTTTGGGGCCATATTGTCCTCCATCCCATAACACAAGTAAATTGAAAATACAACCAAAAATGAAATAATTTTTGGCATGCCTATATAATAATCCACTTAAGCTTGTACAATTTTTTTTTGCCATTCCAAACCATGCCATTCCCTAAAGTATCTTTTTTTTGTCTAATGGTCGCACATGAAAATACACATGAAAATGGGTACGATTTAAACTAAGTATCTTATTCTCAAGAGAATGAGGCATGATGTGATGGACTGATGATTGTGACTGTCTTATATTTTTTCAGGTTCATGACCTTGCACAAGTCATAATAAGAGAGTATTTCTCCCTGGCCAGTGGACTGATCAGCGAGGTACATAAGAGTCAGAACAAACCAATGAGTATCAAACTTACAGTTGTTATTTTTATACACGTCCTGTTTCATATTCAATGCAGACTGCTGCTTTTAAAGACCACAGACTCTTTTGCTTATGCTTAGCCTTGTTTATAAGACAGCTATTCACAGATACCATTAAAAGTCCGTGAGATTTCAAAACATTGGTATTGTCCAACTTGCACATTCTTTACATTACAGATGACACTCGCAAATGATTTGCTCGCCTGTGCAGATGACTCTTCAGTTACAATATACAGCTGTTTCTACCAAATGAGAAAAGGGACTATTCGTTAATAGATTATGGAAGGTCATGGGTTCAAATCCTATCTGGAACTCAGAATTTTTTGGATCTTTGTTTTCTTTTTCCACTTTCATTATTCATTCATTCTCTTTTGTTTTTAACCCAGAGTGAAGTTGCTAGAGCCAAGAAACAGCTACAATCAATGCTGATGATGAACCTGGAATCAAGAATCATAGTATTTGAAGATATAGGAAGGTGAATGATTAGGGAATATCATCCAATAACTACATAAGCAGTGTGTTATACAATATATTTTAATCACACTTGCCACCTACCATTGATACATTCCTCAATAAGCTGTTTGCATAATGGCATCAAATTACTACCACTACCAAGATGCTTTGCAAATTCTTTCTTATTCAAATTTGTATTTCCTCATGAGAATAATAAGGCAATAGGTGATAATGAGCTGAACAAAAACAAGGTGTGCAAGGGATTCTGGTAGTGGCAGTAAATGACGACATAATGCAAGTGACCTATTTGGCTAAGTTTGGATGAATTTTATTCCCTTGATAATTCTTTTGATCATTCATTTGTTCATTTATTTATTTATTACCTTGTATTCATTTTCTCAGGCAAGTACTGGGTCTTGGAGAGAGACGAACTGCAAAAGATCTCTATGACTGTATCGGTAAGTTCTGTGTTTTGTTCTGTCATTTTACATCAATTTCTCTTGTACACATTTTTATCTAGTTGTCTAGGGCAAGTTATGATAAAATTGGGCTGGAAAATTTGTGTGTGTAGAATAGCGCATTTCAAAAAAAACTGAACGCCAGAAGACTGAACAAGCAACGACTGCAGCAAGTTTTGAAGCACATTTTTGAGTGAAGCATTTGATTGTCATATCTTCATCATAGCTCCCATACATTCCCTTATAAACCACACACAGGAATCTTGTTTGGGCTGCCTGTGCTTTACCAAACAATTCATTAATTTCTTCCCATATTCTGCAGAGGCCGTCACAATAGATGACATCAAACGCGTGAGTTCCCGGATGTTAAGTACCAATCCCTCAGTGGCTGCATTTGGTAACCTGTCAATGTTGCCTAAATTCGAGAGTTTCCAACAAGCATTTGCCAACAAGGGAGTATTTCCTGGGAAGTCACTCTTCTTTAATTTTCGAAGGGTTTGAAAAATCAAAAAAGATGTGAAGCCAGAAGAAAGAAAGTTCTAAAATCTTTCTATCAGGACAGTTTATTTTATTCACCAAACCTGCTCTGGATGGATAAAGAATGAAGTTCACTGAAAGTACGGGACCGTTTACATGATACCTGAGTGCGGAACGAGTTCATCCCGGTTGCTATATTTCTTTGTGTTTGTTTACATGATACCCAGGCAAAATTTCATTCCTGAACGAGTCATTTCGGAACGAGTTTATCCCCATTTTCATTCCGGAACGATATTCCATACCAGACTAGAACTGCTCTCTGCGGGGGAGACTGAAACGAATAACGCATGCGTATCGGACCTTTTCATGCTTGAACTCGTTCTGTGAATTTTTCTCATGTAAACGCGGTATGACATTGTATTCTCGTCCAGGAACGAATTCTTTTCAGTATCATGTAAATGGCCCCTAAAAGTGAAGCGTTTGGCAAGCAATTGGAAAGTGCGAGTCAATGGACTACTTGGACGATACGGTGAGCATCTTACCAGGGGGCAAAACCGCAAAACAAAAATGACAGAAAATATATATAGTTTCGTGTGTTTGTCTTTCTTTTATGGGTAAAGGTGATCGATGTGCCGTTTTAATTCATCTTTTGTTGTATTCTCTTGTGGTGAGCTGTTAACATCAATCGACGTCATTACTGTAACAAAGCTTTGTTTGCACCTGGACGCCCCATAATGCATCATGATCCAAGATGGCCGCCGTATCGTTGAAGTAGTCCATTATGCCAGTAGAAAGTAAATCACCTTCTTTTTTCCTGTCAGTTATTTATAGTAAGATGTTTTCTTGCTGCAAACCTTTTGAAAGTACTTACTCGCTGTGAATACGAAAATGAATTTTGGATGACAAAACTAGCCGAGAATGTTTTTCGGTGCACCGTCAAACCTCTATTATATTAAGGGCACAATCTTCACCAATAGTTCAGCTATCTGTGAGATCCCTAAATTTATTCAGAAGACACCTCTATTAAGCAGACACCAGACAAGGTTCCGAAGGTGTCCGCTTAATACAGGTATCTCTGTAGTTCTCTCACAAGTCATAAGCAATTTTTGCAAATGATTTCAGTTACACACCCTTCACTAAACGTTCGGCGAGATCTGCGAGGTCCCTAAATTTATTCAGAAGACACCTCTATTAAGCAGACACCCGAGGCAAGGTCCTGAAGGTGTCCGCTTAATACAGGTACCTCTGTATTCCTCTCACAAGTCATAAGCAATTTTTGCAAATGATTTCAGTTACACACCCTTCACTGCGAGATCCCTAAATTTATTTAAAAGACACCTCTATTAAGCAGACACCAGGTAAGGTCCCGAAGGTGTCCGCTTAATACATAGTTTTTTCACAAGTCATAAGCAATTTTTGCATGTGATCTTAGTTAAATTTCAAACCCTGAACATCTCTCTTTTTTTAATATATGAAATGATTTGTGTACATTTTCAGGATATGTATGTCGGCTCAAAGGTCTATTTAAAAAAACATTCATTAACTGGACCTTAGGGAATGTAATATACATGAGTAGAAATAAGAATAAAAAGTTAAAAACTGAGATACGAAAATAAAGACACATTGCGAGAACCAGAAATTTAAGGCTTCAATAATCATTTTATTATTTAACAAAAAAAATTTCCAAATTTGCCCTAATCAAGATTTAGTAGAAAAATTCCTATTTTGTAATATTTTTTTCTTAAATAAAAACCATAAGGCGCTGCAATGGTAAAATGACCTACCTAAAACTTGTACAAATCGGGAAAAATGTATTCATAAAGCGACTCATTCAAGGATTTTGATTTAGCGAGTTGGTTCGTTAGTTCATTGATGACTCCATTAATGACTCGTTAGGAAGCATCCTTGGTAACCAAGGGGTAAAATTCTATCGCTCGTGATGGCTAGGAAAATAATGTGTCCCCACCCCACCCACCCTTTGAAAAAGTTTGTCCCTATGGTTTGCAATAATTTGGTGTTTTCATGTTACATGTTAGGAGATGTAGGTGTTATATTCAAAATCCATAAAATTATCTAATTTCTAGTTTCTGCCCGACCATGTGAGCCTTGATATTCCATAGATATAGTAATGTTACTTGGTCTACTTATCATGCCTCTTGGAGCTCATTGGAGCGACTTAACCACACGAGATAAAATTCTCTCCAGCAAATGTCATTAGGGTTCGCAAGTTTGATTTTTTTTCTAAAAGGAGTCTGGTCTCCGCGCCTTAAAAAAACTGTAAAAAACAGGAGAAATTAGAGCACTTATTAAAGCTTTATTTTGTATGTCTATAGTGGGAAATATTTGATTAAGGCGCATAAAGGAACACTCCGGATCAATCAACTGATTTCATCGATCATTGCTCGGCGAAATGATTCCTGCCCAAACAAGATCTTAAAACTAAGCTAGAAACCCGCCATATTTAAGGCAATCCTTCCTTTTCTAAAAAGAGTCTTGGAGCTGAAACTATTCCTATCAGAGGAACTGCTAGAGTTTAGGGGCTCAACTTGAAAAGGAAGTTGAATTTTGTTGAACATCGAATGCGTCATCGTAAATGTGAATTTTGGAGTCAAACGAGCGACTCCGCCCAAATCTATGGATACAGTGTTCAAACTTAAGCAAATAAGCAAGCGATAACTTGTTTCACAGGTGCATTAATTCTTTCCATTACCAGTTAACCTTAAACAGCAGATTTAACTCATTATTTATTCATGGCTCGAGCCAGGAGAGTGAAGTAGTATTATTTCAAATATTGTTTCGGTCAATGAGCAAAATGTCATCATGTCCGCTTGACGAAATGAAGACTTTGAACGAACCATTCTGGCATCGCAAGGCAGTTTAAGGTTATAGAGTGTCAAGGATATAGATATTAAGAGTTCAGGGTTTTGACCCATCATTCGTGTCACACTATAGAAAACTATAGAAGATGACGAGAGCGAACGGAAGTCATCAGAAGGGAACAATTGTTGTCATCCTTGGAGTAGTCTTGTTGTTTGTCCTTTTAATCTTGAGAAATGGCGGGAATTATTATATGAACTACCTTCACCAAGACGCTTCGAGAGCACAGTTTGAGATCGACCAATCCTACGTTCTTCTTATTTCCCAAGCTGAAGAAGGTTTTTCGCCCCCACAAGTTGAAAACCAAGATCGATATAATGCAACACTGATGCAAGAATTCAAAAACAAATTTATCCAGAAACCGAACTATTTGGTTAAAGAAGACTTTGAAAACGCCAAAAAGATTGAATTTGGGATTTACACATGGGAAGATAAAGCTTTAACTGAGCTTCTCCTTGACAAGAGGGATGGTTTTTCCATTCACTGCTGTCATTTTGACAGCGAGAGTTTATCAAAAGTATCAAAATTGAAGATGGCAAGAGATTGGGAAAGTGTCATCATGGAAAGCGACCGTAAACACTACGAAGCATTGAAATCACAAGCACGAACTTACTCAATCGTAGATGCAATTTTAACTGAAAGAGCAAATTTTAGCATGGAATCTCTAAGTAAAATTCTCAAAATGAAGAAAGGAGCTTTTTCTAAGCTAAAACATGTTATTGCTGAAGGTGGATTGGAGCAACTTGGACCCGAAGCAGGTCCTGGAAGCATGACAGTTGTGCCAGAGATCCCGCTGAGTTTTGTGGCGAAAACATTTGGAAGAACAGAAGTAGACCTGCTTGCACTAAAAGCAAAGGGGAGAGAACTCGGTATTTTGAAAGCTATAGTTTCAGAGGATTGTGAAGTACATATCATTACAGTTGAATTCGATAATTCTGGCGAAACAATTAAGAGTTTTTTGACCCAAAATGGTTACAAATTGTACGAAGTTGCTGATTTGAATAGTTTTCAAAACTCGAATACTGCTGTGTTTTACAGCGAAAAGGCTATGGATGGTAAGAAAACAGAAAGCGTTTTTCCTCTTTTGGAGGAACTACAAAAAGCAAAGCTAAATAAATCTTAACAGGCAACCTTCTTCGCAAAGCAAAGAACGAGATTGAATTCGGTGAGAAACTGAATCCTCCGGGCAAATACAATATTGCCACCATTATTTTTTTAAATCTATATCCCCTAAAAAGTAATAATAAAAACAGAAAAAACACGTAAATCTACAGAACTAAAATGATCAAAGAAATTGAGACAGTTCTAAATGTATTTGAAGGTTTGATGCGAATCTGTGCTAACGATTTCAAATCGAAAACCTGGGAAAAGCGGAAAGGAGGAAACGTGGAAGAGCTTCGTAGAATAATATCGTCTTATAAGATCCATAAATGTTCGTTTATTTTTTGTACAAAACAAAAAAGGTTTTATAAAATAATCAGTGTTAGTATAAGAAAGGTATTGTAACAAAATATTTTTTAAGATAAGAATCAAAACGAATTAAAAATAAATCAAATAATTAAGACTGAATTTATGTTCATCGGTGCGGTATTTTTTTATTTGTTTCAAAAAAAAAATTGTGCGGAAACTATGTAGGATTTCGTGTGTCTGTCGATCTCAGTTTATGAGTTAAGGTGATCAATGTGCCGTTTGTGATAATGACAGACGATATAAAGAAAATATATATATCAAGCCTCAAATTTTTGAGACGTCACTTCCGGTAATAGCTCTTTTTTGATGGCTCGTAGAATCCTGGAGGTTGTTTTGACCTCTTGTTTTCTGGTTTCATGTCGTGAAAATAGTCAAATACAATAGTTTGAGGACTTATTTTGATATGTTTTGACTTGACATCTACTAGTTGCCCCCCAGTCAACCGCTTGTTTGCCCCCCAGTCAACTCCAAAAAGTCACGTGATTGATAGTAAGCAATTAACTATTTGCCCCTGAACGTCCCATGATGCCTTGCGATCTAAGTTGTCAAAATCTCACTAGAACACGATTTGCTGTGACCGTGACCCAACAAGCGGACAAGCAAAAAGCCGGGGGGGTAGCATTGCACATGAAGTTCGTTGAGAACTTACGAATGAACTTCGGAACGCATTTGTTAAAATTTATATGAAAATTTAAACGCACGGTAGAAAGCAAGTGAAACGTTCGACTAACCCTTGGTTTTCTAACACGCTCTTACTTAGATATATAGCACCCAGCGTGTTTATATTAACAGGGTTCCCAGGGGTCAGGGAAAAGTCAGGGAAAAACACAGTCAGGGAAAAGTCAGGGAATTTTATTTAAAGTTAACCATGAGTATCTGTGTGATACTCATACTGTTTGCAATTTTCGAATAGACTGATAAATCTTTTCTGATAATGAAAAAAAAAATGTTTAATTACGCTGGGTACTCTGTCTAATATGTTAAGAGCGGGGCCTAGGTAAAAGTTAGGCATGTGGCCTGTGCTCGCCCATGCTTGCCCACGCGGCTCAACAAGGTCAGTGAAAACTGTTACTTAATAGTCAGGGAAAAGTCAGTGATATATCATGGAACAAAGACGCACGGCGGTTTTTTTTACACAGATTGATCAAGAATAGGAGCAATTTTATTTTTCCGTCCAAGTGAAAAACATCAGATATCCTGTCTTAACATTTGTGAAACACTATAGATTCTTACAAAATACTATGAATAAAATTAATGGTTATAAAAATTTTGATAAATTGAAAATACAGCCAATCTGAAGGGAGAAAAGTCATTCTACATATTTTTCGTTGCTGTCAATCAAAAACAATTAGTCAGTACCTTTTAGATTCTTGACTGGCAGCAGTGAAAAACCAATTTCACTACTAGCTATTGAAATGTTGGAGTCTGCAGATTATCGAAAACCGCAATAGACCAAATTCAAAACTCGCACCGATGTGAGGCTTAAGTTGTGAACAAAGGAATCTGGCGTGATTCATGACTTTTGAATCACGCCAGATTACTTTGAGTCACGCCAGATGCCTTTGTTCACAACTTAAGCCTCACAACTAAGCCTGCGAGTTGAATTTGGTCTATACATGGTAATACTAATTAATGCTAATTAATGCTAATTAATGCTAATTAGTACTTTTTCATGTTTTTTTTTGGTTGCATTTTGATCACTTGGACCCACAAGTCGACTATCTTTATACATTAGCAAAACTGAGGTCTGGAAAAAAGCATCCAAACCAGACTTCCTTTGAACTCAGTAAAAATAGAATTTCATATCGATAATTAATGCTAGAGTGCACGCACTAAAACCGTGAACATTAAATAGTACTAATTAGTACTATTTCATACGGAATCCTTTGTTTTCTATTGTTTAATTATCACTATTTAGTACTAAAAATTAGTATTTGTTTCACGGATTTAGTGTGAGCACTCTACTTTGCTCTATATACACTTTGTGAAAAATCTATCATACAATAAGGTTTATGGATAATAGAGAGATATTGATTTTACTTTTAATAATAGTTAATTTTATTAGTCTAAACCTACTAATGGTCTAAAACCAATCCTGAGCTCTGATTGGCCGAGCTACTAGTGGTCTATTAGTGATAGACCACAAGTAGTAACATGTGCCAGTTTTGAAAACCCACAAAATGGTGGCTAACCTGTGTTTTCACCGGCATTTCAGAATTCTTTGTGTCCATCTATTTGACAGATTAGTAGGTTTAGGGCTTAGACTAAATCAATAGACCATTTCATGGATCCCGTTACTCAACCTCAGCCTCGTCAGCGTGTACTATATTCTTTAGAAATTGCCTACAACCTGTGAAATTTTTAAGTGTTTCAATTGTTCGTTGATGTGTAAATTCTTTTCATTACTGCGGACTCTAGTCAAATTCTAAAGAATAATTACACTCTGACGAGGCCGAGGTTGAGTAACGGGATCTCTAGACTTCATGGGACACTTCAATCAGACAATAAGTCTTCTAATTGTTTCACAGCCTTTCTCAATGACATGCGCGCTTTAGCGATTGTTTCTGTCGCAGCAAAGTAGGTTTTGGTGGACGACAATCTATGCGTTTCCATGACATTCTATAGGCAGGTGCCCTTGAAAGCTTTATGTTTTCCAGTCCAATGTTATGGAAATCCTTTGAGTGACATCCACCAAACCTTATTTTGTCTCAACTGGGAATTGTACGATTTTACTTATGTGATTGAGAAGCCCTGTAGAAAATACCAGGTTTTAAATTACACAAAACAAAATAATGGAATAAGATCTACTATTTACAAATACTTTTAAAATATTTTGAGGTTATGTTGTTAAACTATTTCTTTTTCAGGCTAAATCCTGGTTTTTGGGTTTTTTCTCTGGGGGACTGTTGATGGGACATTTTTGGATGTTTCAATTCCATTGCTTTTGATAGAACTCTGTGTATATCAATCTCTGGATAGTTCTATGGATTGAAAAGACAACATTTCAATGAGGATAAATTCTTTTTGAATAGTTTGTCTAAACAATTAAAATGCACCTAACACCTGATACAATACTTTCAGTATTGGTTCCAAGGGCGGGTCCAGGGGGGCAAAGGGGGGCTGAAGCCCCCTCCTTCAGCAGAAAAAAACGATCCTTTTTTATATTGTTTTCCGTTGTGTCGACGGAAGAAACTCAATTAGCCCCCCCTAAACTCAATTAGCCCCCCCCTAAAATTTTGGCTTGATCCGCCCTTGGGTTCTAGATCAAGTGAATGGTAAAATATTTCTTAATTTGAATGTTGCATCTTTAGTTATGAAGTTATATGCTTTTGAGTGTATTTGTTTTAACTTTTAATACTAAACACTAGCCATTATGAGACAACAAATGCTTTTTAAATACTGTTTGTGTGAACCAATCAAAACTTGTATACCTAATGAAGCATGGGTGACGTCACAGTCAGTAACATAACGGAAGTACAAACCTTCATCGGTTAAAGACCCAACATTCAAATGAAGAAGTATTTCACCATTCAACTTTTCATTTTATGTAGAATCAATACTGAAAGTATTGTATCAGGGATTAGGTGTACTTTAAGGATTATGTCTTACTTGTAACAACTTCATACTTATGACAAAGTCTCCAGCAAGAAGTTGGTCTCTTATAACACTGTGAAAAAAGAAATAGACAAAAATCTGTTATCTTCTATCATCAATTATATTTATTCAATATTAATTCAATACAACCCCCGAATCAGTACGGGTAGGGTCGGCCAGAAGCATATTAATGTACTGGAATAGAGGCTTTGCATCCTCACGTGATGGCAGCCATGACAGGAGGCACAAAAATAGTCTTTTTCCCCTTTGGAAACTGAAATCAGATTTGACTAGATGCACTATAGAAGCACCCCATTATTATTATCATTATTATTATCATCAGCAGTTTTGCATAAACATTGCATTGTTCCTGCTGGCATAAACCTTCTGTTGTGAAACCCCCAGCTTATATTCTAACTAACAGTAAAGAAATTTCATGGGCATCGCATTACTTCTGTGGAAAGTTTTGTTTTTGCGTTCTACTCACATATGCATTGCACAACAGACAAAGTTGAGGAATTCAAATCTCTTTTCATCAGCAAACAGAGAATCCCAAACACGAATGACATCTGCGAGGACAAAAATATATAAGAAGATTAACTTATGAACATCACTTTAGTTGGGAAATTGGTTCTTGATCACATGGTATATGTCGGATAACATCAAACCAATAGCAGATATTAGACTTACACCGTATTGCCTTTAAACAATTTTCATTTGGGTCAGTATTGACCCAAATGCCTCATCTTGAAATAATAATTATTGTTTGAAGGCAATAGAGTCTAACTCTGATACCTGCATTTGTCATCTCATGAGACCCAAAATCTATAGGGGATTTTTGCCTGCAGGCTGATGGTGCATAATAGGACACAGGATACCCTTCGAGGTATTGTACGCTGCACCAAATTCCAGTCCGGCCCGTAAATATTACAATAAAATGAACCCCTTGAGAAATCATATTTAGGACTCGAACCATGACCTCCTACAGAAAGTCAGATGCTTAACTCACTGAGCCAACTGGGTAGCAGTTAAAGTAAAATCTTGGATTTTATCTTCAAATACTGTTCCAAATATATTATGGCAGAGAATGGCTCCTCTTTGTTACACACATTCTTACTTACCAGGAAGTGGGAATTCTTGAGAGAGCATCAATGTTAACCATCTAAAACTATAGAACTGGGGTTTCATCTGCTGTTTGTCCTTGAAAAAGATCAAATCAAAGAAATATTGAGCAAAGGTGTCTTTTTTATTGTAATAATTATTATAATACAATATTAGGAGCATTCTACAAAGTCTCAATGCTCTTACAAGAATGAAGAAACTAAAATGAAGAAATAGAAACATAACATGTTTTTAAGAATCCCAACTGGCAAGGAGGCAAACCAGTTGGCTATTTATGATGGTCAAGAAACTGAATTATTTTGTACTAATCAGAAATCAGGACAAAATACAGTGTCAGCTAGTGGCCAGAGTGGGACCCTAACCTGGCACCAACAGAGTGAGACTGATGCTATGATCACTCTACCATGCTGCCCCCTCCTTGGATGCCCCTATATGACATGCCCTGTCATCGCAGCCATCATCAACATCATCATCTATTATTATCTTCATCATCATTAACTCATCATCTTTGTCAAAACCATCATCATTACCATCATCAATATAACCATCATCGTCTTCAATCATCATCATCATCATTACCATCATCAATATAACCATCATCGTCTTCAATCATCATCATCATCATTACCATCATCAATATAACCATCATCGTCTTCAATCATCATCATCATCATTACCATCATCAATATAACCATCATCTTCAATCATCATCATCATCATTATCATCATTATCAATCATTATCATCATCAATATTAAAACTCACTAAAGATATCCATAACTCAGGATCCTTCTCCTTAAGTAAGTTGAGTAGATTTTTCATCATATTTCCTGAGAATAAAACAACAGGTAATACAGTAGGTAATTAATGAAATAATAAACCATTGAATAGGATATAATAGAGGTTTTGCATCATTATGTGCCAAGGCCCATAATACAGCTTGGGCTTCCTGTGGTTAGATGGCAGAACAATAAAATCCCTTTGCTCTTGAGAATAGAATTATTTTTTATGTAAAAGGATTGTATTGTTACTGCCATCTAACATGGCTGCCGTCACGTGATTGTGCATGTATGTATTAGGTACAAATGGTCAAGATCTCACCTATGCCAGTGGCAGATTCATCTAGACTCTTAATAAAATTGTCTCTTATCTCAGACATTAAGTTGGTAAAACAGAAAAATGAGTCTGCTTCTGCATGAGCTGTCAATCAAACAAAAAAATTCCAAACTGTTAGCACTCTTATGTATTTAGGTCCCCAATAATCTCTTTTGCGTTTTCAACAGCATGAATGGAGGATACCAGAAGTGGGATATAACCAATGGCTTATGACTTGCATTAAGGAACAGAAACACGGTGCAACATTGCGAGCAACATTGCAGGCAATGTTGCTGAAGTAGGATAGTTTTCTACTTCAGCAATGTTGCATGCAACTTGTAAATTGCATTGTGTGTCATGGCTCGCAAAATAAATGGCATGCAACATTGCGTGCAATGTTGCACTGTGTGTCTGTAGGTTTAGCAGACCTGTGGGCTTACAATTAGGTGGGGGGGGGGGGCAGCATGTACCAACTATGTTGCATGCATATACTGTAGCCGGTAGTAAGCATTGATATGCATGCATGCAAGTATTATATATCCCTTATATGCATGTACAAATGTAGTATTACTGGAAAGGAGACTGACATAAAATGTCTGGTGGGATTCTGGTGTCACTGATTTCCATGTCATTCATTTATTCAAATGAACAGTGTACCACCTGTCAAGTACAGTGTAGGATTGCTTTACCTTGCCATTCTGGATTGGAGTGGGAAGCAAAAATATAGTATAGTGGTCCAATAATCTCATTCATTCCCTGCAATGGAAAAAAGAAATATGTGCATTAATGGAAGATATCAGTGAGGAAGTACCTACRTAGCATTCAGTAACATATTCATAAAATATACTGCAGCAGTGTTCTATGTAATGTTTACAGCAAGAGTGCCGTGTCTGATTAACAACACAAGCCTGAAGCAAACAAGTGTAAATAATAATAATAGAGAGTTTTAGATTTACATTCACAGCAAACATGAAACGTCAAATGACCAGTAAAAAGTCGTAAGTAGTAAAAAAATAGAAGAATATTTGTGTGTGGTGAGAAGTTTGCAATAGCTACATGTAAAATACAGGAAAATGATGAGAATGTGGTGACGTTTGCCATTTGCAAGAAGGAAAAAAGTCAATCTAAAACTCTCTAATAACTAATAAATTACCTGTACATATGATATTCCTGGATTCAACTTTGCATATATAAATAATATTCTCTCTACAACCTGATAACAAAAAATAATTATTATGTTAGACTCCAGACGTACTTCCCCTATAAATGAAAGGTGGTTAAGGTCCCAGGGGGGGAAGGGGGGGGG